TGCCATTATGAGTCCCTCCATCACTCCACCTGCCCTTATGAGCCCCTCCATCACTCCACCTGCCCTTATGAGTCCCTCCATCACTCCTCCTGTCCTTATGAGACCCTCCATCACTCCACCTGCCCTTATGAGACCCTCCATCACTCCACCTGCCATTATGAGTCCCTCCATCACTCCACCTGCCCTTATGAGACCCTCCATCACTCCACCTGCCCTTATGAGCCCCTCCATCACTCCACCTGCCCTTATGAGCCCCTCCATCACTCCACCTGCCATTATGAGTCCCTCCATCACTCCACCTGCCCTTATGAGACCCTCCATCACTCCACCTGCCATTTTGAGCCCCTCCATCACTCCACCTGCCATTATGAGTCCCTCTATCACTCCACCTGCCCTTATGAGACCCTCCATCACTCCACCTGCCATTATGAGTCCCTCCATCACTCCACCTGCCCTTATGAGACCCTCCATCACTCCTCCTGCCATTATGAGTTCCTCCATCACTCCTCCTGCCCTTATGAGACCCTCCATCACTCCACCTGCCCTTATGAGTCCCTCCATCACTCCACCTGCCATTATGAGTCCATCCATCACTCCACCTGCCATTATGAGTCCCTCCATCACTCCACCTGCCATTATGAGTCCCTCCATCACTCCTCCTGCCCTTATGAGACCCTCCATCACTCCACCTGCCCTTATGAGACCCTCCATCACTCCACCTGCCATTATGAGTCCCTCCATCACTCCACCTGCCCTTATGAGTCCCTCCATCACTCCACCTGCCCTTATGAGTCCCTCCATCACTCCACCTGCCATTATGAGTCCCTCCATCACTCCACCTGCCATTATGAGTCCCTCCATCACTCCACCTGCCCTTATGAGACCCTCCATCACTCCTCCTGCCCTTATAAGACCCTCCATCACTCCACCTGCCCTTATGAGACCCTCCATCACTCCACCTGCCATTATGAGTCCCTCCATCACTCCACCTGCCTTTATGAGACCCTCCATCACTCCACCTGCCCTTATGAGTCCCTCCATCACTCCACCTGCCCTTATGAGTCCCTCCATCACTCCACCTGCCATTATGTGTCCCTCCATCACTCCACCTGCCCTTATGAGATCCTCCATCACTCCTCCTGCCCTTATGAGACCCTCCATCACTCCTCCTGCCCTTATGAGACCCTCCATCACTCCTCCTGCCATTATGAGTCCCTCCATCACTCCACCTGCCCTTATGAGACCCTCCATCACTCCACCTGCCCTTATGAGCCCCTCCATCACTCCACCTGCCCTTATGAGCCCCTCCATCACTCCACCTGCCATTATGAGTCCCTCCATCACTCCACCTGCCCTTATGAGCCCCTCCATCACTCCACCTGCCATTATGAGTCCCTCCATCACTCCACCTGCCCTTATGAGACCCTCCATCACTCCACCTGCCATTATGAGCCCCTCCATCACTCCACCTGCCATTATGAGTCCCTCTATCACTCCACCTGCCCTTATGAGACCCTCCATCACTCCACCTGCCCTTATGAGTCCCTCCATCACTCCACCTGCCCTTATGAGTCCCTCCATCACTCCACCTGCCCTTATGAGTCCCTCCATCACTCCACCTGCCCTTATGAGACCCTCCATCACTCCACCTGCCATTATGAGTCCCTCCATCACTCCACCTGCCCTTATGAGACCCTCCATCACTCCACCTGCCATTATGAGTCCCTCCATCACTCCACCTGCCCTTATGAGACCCTCCATCACTCCACCTGCCCTTATGAGTCCCTCCATCACTCCACCTGCCCTTATGAGACCCTCCATCACTCCTCCTGCCCTTATGAGTCCCTCCATCACTCCACCTGCCATTATGAGTCCCTCCATCAATCCACCCGCCCTTATGAGTCCCTCCATCACTCCTCCTGCCCTTATGAGTCCCTCCATCACTCCACCCTCCATCACTCCACCTGCCCTTATGAGTCCCTCCATCACTCCACCGGCCCTTATGAGTCCCTCCATCACTCCACCTGCCCTTATGAGTCCCTCCATCACTCCACTTGCCCTTATGAGACCCTCCATCACTCCACCTGCCCTTATGAGTCCCTCCATCACTCCTCCTGCCATTATGAGACCCTCCATCACTCCACCTGCCCTTATGAGTCCCTCCATCACTCCACCTGCCATTATGAGTCCCTCCATCACTCCACCTGCCCTTATGAGACCCTCCATCACTCCACCTGCCCTTATGAGACCCTCCATCACTCCTCCTGCCATTATGAGTCCCTCCATCACTCCACCTGCCCTTTTGAGACCCCCCATCACTCCACCTGCCCTTATGAGACCCTCCATCACTCCTCCTGCCCTTAGGAGTCCCTCCATCACTCCACCTGCCCTTATGAGACCCTCCATCACTCCTCCTGCCATTATGAGACCCTCCATCACTCCACCTGCCCTTATGAGACCCTCCATCACTCCACCTGCCCTTATGAGACCCTCCATCACTCCTCCTGCCCTTATGAGCCCCTCCATCACTCCACCTGCCCTTATGAGACCCTCCATCACTCCTCCTGCCATTATGAGACCCTCCATCACTCCACCTGCCCTTATGAGTCCATCCATCACTCCACCTGCCATTATGAGTCCCTCCATCACTCCACCTTCCCTTATGAGACCCTCCATCACTCCACCTGCCCTTATGAGACCCTCCATCACTCCTCCTGCCATTATGAGTCCCTCCATCACTCCACCTGCCCTTATGAGACCCTCCATCACTCCACCTGCCCTTATGAGACCCTCCATCACTCCTCCTGCCCTTATGAGTCCCTCCATCACTCCACCTGCTCTTATGAGACCCTCCATCACTCCTCCTGCCATTATGAGACCCTCCATCACTCCACCTGCCCTTATGAGACCCTTCATCACTCCACCTGCCCTTATGAGACCCTCCATCACTCCTCCTGCCATTATGAGTCCCTCCATCACTCCACCTGCCATTATGAGTCCCTCCATCACTCCACCTGCCCTTATGAGACCCTCCATCACTCCACCTGCCCTTATGAGTCCCTCCATCACTCCTCCTGCCCTTATGAGTCCCTCCATCACTCCTCCTGCCATTATGAGACCCTCCATCACTCCACCTGCCCTTATGAGACCCTCCATCACTCCTCCTGCCCTTATGAGACCCTCCAACACTCCACCTGCCCTTATGAGTCCCTCCATAACTCCACCTGCCCTTATGAGACCCTCCATCACTCCACCTGCCATTATGAGTCCCTCCATCACTCCACCTGCCCTTATGAGACCCTCCATCACTCCTCCTGCCATTTTGAGTCCCTCCATCACTCCACCTGCCCTTGTGAGACCCTCCATCACTCCACCTGCCCTTATGAGACCCTCCATCACTCCACCTGCCCTTATGAGTCCCTCCATCACTCCACCTGCCCTTATGAGACCCTCCATCACTCCACCTGCCCTTATGAGACCCTCCATCACTCCTCCTGCCATTATGAGTCCCTCCATCACTCCACCTGCCATTATGAGTCCCTCCATCACTCCACCTGCCATTATGAGTCCCTCCATCACTCCACCTGCCCTTATGAGACCCTCCATCACTCCACCTGCCCTTATGAGTCCCTCCATCATTCCTCCTGCCCTTATGAGTCCCTCCATCACTCCTCCTGCCATTATGAGACCCTCCATCACTCCACCTGCCTTTATGAGACCCTCCATCACTCCTCCTGCCCTTATGAGTCCCTCCATCACTCCACCTGCCCTTTTGAGTCCCTCCATTACTCCACCGGCCCTTATGAGTCCCTCCATCACTCCACCGGCCCTTATGAGACCCTCCATCACTCCACCCGCCCTTATGAGTCCCTCCAACACTCCACCTGCCCTTATGAGTCCCTCCATAACTCCACCTGCCCTTATGAGACCCTCCATCGCTCCACCTGCCATTATGAGTCCCTCCATCACTCCACCTGCCCTTGTGAGTCCCTCCATCAATCCACCTGCCCTTATGAGTCCCTCCATTACTCCACCTGCCCTTATGAGTCCCTCCATCACTCCACCTGCCCTTATGAGTCCCTCCATCACTCCGCCTGCCCATATGAGTCCCTCCATCACTCCACCTGCCCTTATGAGCCCCTCCATCACTCCATCTGCCCTTATGAGTCCCTCCATCACTCCACCTAACCAGCTTTTTAAAATTGTTTTTAAAACTAAACATTTCGACTATTTTAGCACAAATTAGCAGTAGCACCTCACTGCAGACACGAGATCCAGGGGGCGGAGTTGGATCCAGATTTAAGGGGTGGAGATTGGTAGGTTTAGGTATATGTAATGTGGGAGGAGTCGGTTTAAATGATTAAATGTTAAAACGGCTTGCCATAGCCTATAATGTATTGTAAGAAGTGTACTTTAGAGAAACTGGTGCTTGGGGAGAGGGTGACGCCTAAAATGTTTTAAAGTGTTTGCATGCAATACACATAACAACCCACGAGGGAATCAGAGTACGAAGCAATAAAAATTTAAAAAAGACTACAAAGCAGTTATGCTGCTGGACATAATATATGCTGCTGGACATCTGAATTTCCCCTGTGGGGATGAATAAAGACATCTATCTATCTATCTATCTATCTATCTATCTATCTATCTATCTATCTATCTATCTATCTATCTATCTATCTATCTATCTATCTATCTATCTATCTATCTATCTATCTTCGGACGTCATTGGTCACGTGATTTTGGTAGAACAAATTAAGCATTGATACAAATTGTTTAATTTTTTTTGACACACGCCTCGGACCTTTGATGCAAGCTGAAATGCAACAAAAGTGTAAATGCAACAAAAACAACAACACATTTAAGTTAATAACTCAGTGGAATCAAGCCACAACACAGAAAGAGTGACTGAGATCGCGAACCCGATTTACACTCCGGAGGAGAAGGTGGCGCTAATGCGCAGAAAAGCTGGACGACGACCGCCGGAAAACAAGTAGAGGAAGAAGAAGAAGAAGAAGAAGAAGAACGTCAGTGTAGCATAGCTCGAAATCTACAGCACAAACAAACAAACTAAGAAAATAGACGGAGAAACAGATCACGTTTTCACTTCATGTAAGTATGCTGCAGAACATTTCATCTCTCACAACATTAATATATATAACGTTATATAGGCTATGTGTCTCAGCGTATCATCCTGCGGTTCTCTCTCTCTCTCTCTCTCTGTGTGTGTGTGTGTGTGTGTGTGTGTGTGTGTGTGTGTGTGTGTGTGTGTGTGTGTGTGTGTGAGAGAGAGAGAGAGAGAGAGAGAGAGAGAGAGAGAGAGAGAGAGAGAGAGAGAGAGAAGAGAGAGAGAGAGAGAGAGAGAGAGAGAGAGAGAGAGAGAGAGAGTCGGTTTGCTGCATAATGTCAGTTTCAAATGTACCGTCAACAGCTCCTTAACGTTAACGTTACATAGACAGCAGTTTCTCTGTTTGTCCGGCTCCCTACATAGACGTCAGATCTGTGTGTGTGTGTGTATCAGACTCAGATCTGTGTGTGTCAGACCTGGGCATGATGTCGGGGGTCCAGCACACAGTGTGAACACATCACTGAAGTAGACTCAGATCTGTCTGTGTGTGTGTGTGTGTGTGTGTGTGTATCAGACCTGGGCATGATGTCGGGGGTTCAGCACACAGTCACTTCACTGGAGTAGACTCAGATCTGTGTGTGTGTGTGTGTGTGTGTGTGTGTGTGTGTGTGTGTATCAGACTCAGATCTGTGTGTGTGTGTGTATATCAGACTCAGATCTCTGTGTGTGTGTGTGTGTGTGTGTGTGTGTGTGTGTGTGTGTGTGTGTGTGTGTGTGTGTGTCAGACCTGGGCATGATGTCGGGGGTCCAGCACACAGTCACATCACTGGAGTAGACTCAGATCTGTGTGTCTGTGTGTGTGTGTGTATCAGACTCAGATCTGTGTGTGTGTGTGTGTGTATATCAGACTCAGATCTCTCTCTGTGTGTGTGTGTGTGTGTGTGTCAGACCTGGGCATGATGTCGGGGGTTCAGCACACAGTCACTTCACTGGAGTAGACTCAGATCTGTGTGTCTGTGTGTGTGTGTGTGTGTATCAGACTCAGATCTGTGTGTGTGTGTGTATATCAGACTCAGATCTCTGTGTGTGTGTGTGTGTGTGTGTGTGTGTGTGTGTGTCAGACCTGGGCATGATGTCGGGGGTCCAGCACACAGTCACATCACTGGAGTAGACTCAGATCTGTGTGTGTGTGTCAGACTCAGATCTGTGTGTGTGTGTGTATCAGACTCAGATCTGTGTGTGTGTGTGTGTGTATATCAGACTCAGATCTCTCTCTGTGTGTGTGTGTGTGTGTGTGTGTGTGTGTGTGTGTGTGTGTGTGTGTGTGTGTGTGTGTGTGTGTGTGTGTGTGTGTGTGTGTGTGTGTGTGTGTCAGACCTGGGCATGATGTCGGGGTTCAGCACACAGTCACATCACTGGAGTAGACTCAGATCTGTGTGTGTGTGTGTGTGTGTGTGTATCAGACTCAGATCTCTCTCTGTGTGTGTGTGTGTGTGTGTGTGTGTGTGTGTGTGTGTGTGTGTCAGACCTGGGCATGATGTCGGGGGTTCAGCACACAGTCACATCACTGGAGTAGACTCAGATCTGTGTGTGTGTGTGTGTGTATCAGACTCAGATCTGTGTGTGTGTGTATATCAGACTCAGATCTCTCTGTGTGTGTGTGTGTGTGTGTGTGTGTCAGACCTGGGCATGATGTCGGGGGTCCAGCACACAGTCACATCACTGGAGTAGACTCAGATCTGTGTGTCTGTGTGTGTGTGTGTCAGACTCAGATCTATGTGTGTGTGTGTGTCAGATCTGGGCATGATGTCGGGGGCTCCAGCGGTGCGCGTGAGCATCGAGTCGTCCTGCGAGCGGCAGGTGCAGGAGGTGTCTCTGGACGGCCTGGAGACCTACGCCCCCCCGCTCTCCATGTCCCAGAACCTGGCCAAGCTGGCGCAGCGGATCGACTTCGGCCAGAGCTCGGACGAGGACGAGGACGGGCTGGAGCGGGACAGCCAGCAGTGGAGCAAGCCGGAGGCCGAGGAGGACGAGGGTATGTGTGTGTCGGGCCGCTCACGATTACATGCAAATCCATTCTCAGGGCACAGATCTGATTGTACAGTCGTCGACATTTGAAGTGGATCAAAACCTTTCATCAAAGTTATACATGAATCTTGAACAATACCCGTTCTTGCCTTTCATGAACTTTTATGATCCACTTCAAATGTGGCCTACTGTAGTTTACTGTTTTCTTATTCGACTGCGGTAGATAATGGGTCTAGAAGGGAAAACCTTAACCTTGAAATTTATTTAGTTTTTCATCCCAATTTAGTCAACCCAATATTACAGAACAAATGCCCTTTCAGCCGACTACAATCTTCATTACACACAGTCTTCTGTAATAAAGCAATGCAGAACATTTGATTTTAATTTTGATAAATAAATTACAAACAATAGGACTAATACAATAGAAAAAAAAAAAAATGATATTTTTATATTTACTTTTATATTTTATATATCCCCCCCCCCCCCCTTCTCTCTCTCTCTTTCTCTCTCTCTCCAGGTATGGTGAAGTTCCAGCCGTCGCTGTGGCCGTGGGACTCGGTGCGTAATAACCTGCGCAGCGCTCTCACGGAGATGTGTGTGTTGCACGACGTGCTCAGTGTGCTCAAGGACAAGAAGTACATGGCGCTCGACCCCGTGTCCCAGGATCCCTCAGTGGGAAAGGTCAGTTTATTCTGTGGTTCGAGCGGGCGTATATATACCCTTTCCCGTCTGTGGGGTTGTGAAGTTCGGATGTCTCTGTAATGCGCTGTCGTGTCCTCGTGTGCAGACGCCGCAGGTGTTCCAGCTGCTCAGCAAGAAGAAGTCTCTGGCCACGGCCGCGCAGCTGCTGCTGAGAGGGGCGGAGAAGCTCACCAAGTCTGTGGTGGAGAACCAGGAGCAGCGGCGGCAGCGCGACTTCAACTCGGAGCTCCTGCGCCTGCGCTCGCAGTGGAAACTGCGCAAAGTCGGAGACAAGATCCTGGGGGATCTCAGTTACCGCAGTGCCGGTAATGCAGTGATTTATCAGTTAGTGCGGCTGGGATGAGCAAAACATTATATCACGCTATTTTTCAAAACTGTACACTATGGTATTTTAATTTTTTTCAACCATTACTGGGTGTTAACCACATTTTCTACTGATTGAGAGAGGAAATACTGCAGTAGATTGGCTTAGATTGCCCTATTTTACTGTCATGAGTGAATATTGTAGAGAAATCCCACACTTGTGTTAATACAGGTCTGTTTACAAAGAGGTCCAGCAGGAGGCGCTGTAGGAGCGGCTGGTTTCCACGGCAACGGCTGAACACAAAGCAGCTCAGCGCTCATAAATGCTGCTTTATCAGGAAAGATAAAGAAAGATTCAAATGAAATAACATATCGAAACTTTGCTAAAGACAGTCAGTTCCCTTCAAAGATACATTCATATAAAAACACCCGGGCCGCGTTTTGACTTCGTTCGTCTTATCACTCAAAATATGATTCTATGTTGACTTAAATGTATGGATTACAGCCTATCGTGTTCAGTTTATTCAAATATATAAATATAATCTGCAGTATTTGTCATACAAGTGCTGAAGTGTTTAAAGGGATAGTTCACCCAAAAAACCCTCAAGCCATCCTACAGGTAGGTGTATATGACTTTCTGCTTTCAGACAAACACAATCAGAGGTATATTAAAAATATCCTGTCTCTTCCAAGCGTTATAATGGCAGCGAGTAGCGCCTGATGTCTTGGGCCGGACCTCGACTCGCGTACGGCACTGATTATAGTTTATAAAGCTTTAAATATGAATATTTTTCGTACTTAAACGCATGGCTTCGCTTCAGAAGGTCTTTATTTAACCCTCCGGAGTCGTGTGGATTACTTTTATGATGGATGGATGCACTTTTTTTGGGCTTCAAAATCTCAGGCACCATTAACTCCCATTATAAAGCTTGGATGAGCCAGGACATTTTTTAATACTTCTGATTGTGTTCGTCTGAAAGAAGAAACTCATATACTCCTAGGATGGCTTGAGGGTGAGTAAATAAATCATGGGCTAATTTTCATTTTTGGGTGAAGTAACCCTTAAATATGTGTCGCTGGCGTTTCAGGCTCTCTGTTCCCGCATCACGGCACGTTTGAGGTCCTCAAGAACACAGACCTGGACCTGGATAAGAAAATCCCCGATGATTATTGCCCGCTCAACGTGCAGATCCCCAGCGAACTGGAGGGATCCGCCTACATTAAGGTCAAATTCAAGAATAGCAGTGATGTAACTCGCCTGACATCAGATGTTGTTTTCCCCAAGATAAAGTGTGTGTGTGTGTGTCTTTGCGCAGGTGTCCATTCAGAAACAGTCTCCTGATATCGGAGACCTCGGCACAGTCAATCTCTTCAGAAGACAAGCTAAAGCTAAACCGGGTAAACTCAACTCCGGTCAAACTATTCTCGCATGTGGTGCTAGATATTGGGAATAATTATAACTGAATAAATATGGGTAATTTTACTGTTCTCTTTAAATAGTCATTAAAACTTCAGTTTGCCTGAAAATGAAACATTTTCATTGTTCTGTAGGGATTTCTTTGAGATATTTTTTAGAATGGATGTCACCAAATAGTTTTGGTCACAATTGACTTCCATTTTATGGACAATTACATTAGTAAAGATGGCAAAGTGTTTATTTTTGGGCGAACTGTCCCTGTAGGTTTCCACGACCGCGCCAGTCGGTTTAATAGCATCTCTGATTTAAATGTATTTCTAAAATTCTGCTTGAACTATTTGTTCACCTTAATAATCGTGGAGGTTTTGAATGGCAGAGCAAACGCATGTTTGGTGGACGCAGACGCTCTTGTGTGTAAATGCTGGATCATGTGTGATCTGATCATGTTCTCCTCTCTCAGGGTCTCAGATGTGGCATTTAAAGCTCGAAGCTGCTCAGAATGTGCTGCTGTGTAAGGAGATTTTCGCCCAGCTCTCACGTGAAGCCGTTCAGATCAAATCACAGATTCCTCACATCGTCGTCAAGAACCAGATCATCTCGCAACCCTTTCCTGGTATGTACCTTAACAGTTAATCATTTAGCAGACGCTTCTATCCACAGCTGCTTACAAATGAGCAAGAGCAACATGACAAGCAACACACACACCTAGTAATACCTAGTAATCAGTGTTTGGAATAACGAGGTTATTTTTTCAGTAACGGGGTAATCTAACTAATTACTTTTCCCGTTGTTACAACGCTGTTAACGTTACTGGGTACAAACTTGTCAAACTGTGCAGCCTCTCTGCTCAACCCGTAAATAAATGCATCGATCGGCCAATGTTGTCTGAGTTATTCAATGGTCTAGTGGTAGATCTTTTGCCAAGCGTGTCAGAGGTTACGGGTTCTAATCCACGCTAGTATAGTTTTTATTTCTCTTATCAAAACCGAATATGTTCATCAGTGGTTACAGTCTATATCAAGAAGGGACACGTTTGTGTGCATTTTATTTTGTGATTTCACCGGAACGAATAGAGAGTCTCCACAATGGCGATACATTGAAGAGCGCGTCCGAGTGAAGACTGCACGAGCCACAAGAGAACAACTGTGTATGCAACTGATAGCAGAGGACACGAGCGCTCAGCTTGAGTTAAAAAACAACACATTTTAGCGCTAGATCTCTTATTTAATAGCGAACTAAAAGAATGCTCTGCTAGTTAACTGGAGATGTTTTATTTATTTGTATTAGGTGCATCCGTGCCTCAATGTTTCAAAACGTGGTGGGTACAAAATGACTCATGACTAAATCAGGCGGGGACGCGTATGGTGTAACGGTTTACTTATCTTACAAAGATAATACTTGAAGTGCAGGATAAACCTCTTGCTGTCTGTCGACGTGCAGTAAATATAGAAAGTTGTGTACAAACACCTGTCTGTTCTACTCATTTCAACTGACTTGTGAAAACTGCTAAAAAAAATCCAAATTCTTGACATATAGCAACTTTTTTTTTAACAGTAACGCAAATAGTTACTTTCCCTGGTAACGAGTTACTTTTATTATAGAGTAATTCAGTTACTAACTCAGTTACTTTTTGGACTATAACTAATTTCTTTTTGAAAGTAACGTTCCCAACACTGCTAGTAATTAACTTAAATCATGAAACTTATTCAATTTAACAGCAATTTATTAACAGTTTAACAAATAACATTCTTAATGTTATTTTTCTCTCTCTCACAAATTCCATTTTATTTTTACCCAGTTCTTTCCTTTTTATTTTGTCTACAAGAAAACATTCGAGTCTATGACGGATTTCCAACAAATGCTGGGTTCCCGCATTTTTTATGTTTAATATTTATTTATTTATTTTATATTTTTAATGAAACCTGAGAGCTTTCTGTCCCTCCATCGACAGCAACGTCATTGCAACTTTCAAGGCCCAGAAAGGTAGTAAAAACATGGTTAAAATAGTGCATGTGACTCCAGTGGTTCAACCTTGATATTATGAAGCGACGAGAATACTCTTTGTGCACAAAACCCCCCATAAGAACATCTTTATTCCACAATCTCTTCTCTTCCGTGTCATTCTCCTCCGCTGTGGACGTAGTGCAAACAGTGCAGCGCTTCCTGGTTCTACGCCAGATCGCCGGCTCGTTATTGGCCAGCATCACACACATGACCAGCGTCGGCCAATAGTGAGCCTACGTTCTGACGTGATTAACCCTTTAAGGTGTACATTATACTGTACAAGAGTAATACATTTCTATCGCAGTTTCTTTCTTAAACCAAACTTGTATTTTGACGAGTTGCCGTGTAGAACTTCTTCTGTCATGTGATGATAGTTTCTCTCAAATGAAATGTTGTCAAAGTGAGAACATTAAACCGCAAAAGGCCTACTGAATGGCGCAGACGTGCGGTTCCGTTACGCATCCATTGCATCGCGCGCTGTCACCATCAAGCCGGCGTAAACTCGTGTTTCCTTGATGCCTCGCCACAGCCAATCACCAGCACTGGATTTGGGCACATCATACATGCTGCATGCTTGTTGTTTCACTGACTTTGACCAGATTAACCCCTCAAGTATCGACATTTGGTGCCGAACAACAAGATTTTATATTAGCATGTGTTCACACCACCCCTATTCTAGAATAACAATAAATCTAAAAGAACGGCAAACGTCTATCATTATTATTTTTATTTCTAGTGTAACTGTCCTGTGTGTGTGTGTGTGTGTGTGTGTGTGTTCAGGTCTGCAGCTGTCCATCTCTCTCTGCCACTCCACTGGAGAAAAGAAAAACCAAAGAGCTTCACCAGACAAGAGCAAACCAGACGACCACCTGTATGTGTTAGAGCACAACCTCCACCAGCTCATACGAGAGGTACACACACACACACACACACACACTCACACTCACACTCACACACTCACCCAGACGACCATCTGTATGTGTTAGAGCACAACCTCCACCAGCTCATACGAGAGGTACACACACACACACACACACACACTCACACTCACACTCACACACTCACCCAGACGACCATCTGTATGTGTTAGAGCACAACCTCCACCAGCTCATACGAGAGGTACACACACACACACACACACACACACACACACACTCACACTCACACTCACACTCACACTCACACACTCACCCAGACGACCACCTGTATGTGTTAGAGCACAACCTCCACCAGCTCATACGAGAGGTACACACACACATACACACACACACACACACACTCTCACACACACACACACACACACACACACACACTCACACTCACACACTCACCCAGACGACCACCTGTATGTGTTAGAGCACAACCTCCACCAGCTCATACGAGAGGTACACACACACACACACACACACACACACACACACACTCACACTCACACTCACACACTCACCCAGACGACCATCTGTATGTGTTAGAGCACAACCTCCACCAGCTCATACGAGAGGTACACACACACACACACACACACACACACACACACACACACACACACACACACACACACACACACACTCACACTCACACTCACACTCACACACTCACCCAGACGACCACCTGTATGTGTTAGAGCACAACCTCCACCAGCTCATACGAGAGGTACACACACACACTCACACTCCAGAGACAGCCGCTTTGGTCATCACTGAGTCTGAGGTGTGTGTTCCTGTAGTTCCACAAGCAGACGCTGAGTTCGGTGGTGATGCCGCACCCGGCCAGCGCCCCGTTCAGCCACAAGCGCCTGCGGATGGCGGGACCCATGGCCTACGACAAGGCCGAGATCAGCGCTCTGCAGCAGAGCGAAGGACTCCTGGAGAAGATCATCAAACAGGCCAAACACATCTTCCTGAGGAGCAGGTGCGCCACACACACACACACACACACACACACCCTTCACACAGAAAGTGACTTCACCTCTTTTCCTCAGTACGGTAATCTAGAAGTCATTAGGGGTGTAACGGTACATGTATTCGTATTGAACCGTTTCGGGTCGAGGCTTCCGGTTCGGTACGCATACAAACCGAACGATTCCTTGGACCATTTTTCCTGACGACAAAATCCGCGCTGGTGCGATCACCACAACGTTGCGCAACATCAAATGGCAAGCGTAATGAAAGCGGAACGAAACTGCGCCACTCATTATGTGCTTCACGGACCGTTTATCAGTTCGGACCAGGAACATCTGTGCAGCGTGAGCCGATCTCGATCAAGCGACACTGTTACAACACAGTGCTAAGAGATCCAGTAAAGAAAACATTTGAATTCGCCACTGAAGTAATAACATCGCTGCGAGATCTAGTGAGAAGCATTCACATTTCTCCGTTATTAACCGTAGATCTCTATTAGATCAAACAGCACTGACGTGGACACCAGGAGAAACATTGTGCCGTGAATGAACTAGTAATACTTTACGTCCACAGACCAGCAACATTCACCATAACTGTAACCAGTTTGGCTGGAATAGTGAAATGCTTTCAAGTACTTCACACATCTTTTTCCAGCACTTCAAAACTCAAATATTATATAAATAAATATATGAAGAGTTCAGATGCAAAAGCCTCTATAAGTGCCAATTGAAATTTTCTTCTAGAATGATCATTTTTATGAAGCTTGTATATTAAGTTCAGTAATTTCACTCAAATGACAATTAATAGGTAATCTTCATTGCCATTTAAGTGAAATTACTGAACTTAAATATACAAGCTTGATAAAAATGATCATTCTAGAAGAAAATTTCAATTGGCACTTATAGAGGCTTTTGCATCTGAACTCTTCATATATTTAAATGTTATTTTTAATGTGATGACCAAAATATTATTTGTTCATCCTTCAAAGATGACACCCATTTATAAACCTGAACGTTTCAAGATGTAGGAAAACTCACACTTATTTAAAAATATTTTTTCTTTTTACAAATAGGAAATTCTCTGGCATTTCTTACTTTTTGCTGTATCGAAAACGTACCGAACCGTGACTTTAAACCGAGGTACGTACCGAACCGTGATTTTTGTGTACCGTTACACCCCTAGAAGTCATATAGTCACTAAAACGCCATGCAAGGCTGCATATGAACTGAGAAATTGGGTCGAGAAGTTCTACAAACTGCAAAGAGAAGTTGGGGTGTGCGATGATGACTAATGATGTCGGGATATTTTCTGGGATTTTGGCTATAATGATAATTACAATATTTTGCTGAGTGTTTTTGTGCTGGTTCGTGGACGGCCGACTCTCTCAGCTTTTCATGGCCTTCAGATTCTGTTCAGAATATATGCATTATAAAGGAATTTAGTTTTCTAACCCTATTAGATTTATGCATCATCTTTGTAAAATTCTTACATTTAATTAGGTGTTCAAGCACGAAGTGCTGAAAACCTATTGTATTTGTACTGATTTTTATTATTAGGTGTTCAAGCACGAAGTGCTGAAAACCTATTGTATTTGTACTGATTTTTATTATTAGGTGTTCAAGCACGAAGTGCTGAAAACCTATTGTATTTGTACTGATTTTTATTATTAGGTGTTCAAGCACGAAGTGCTGAAAACCTATTGTATTTGTACTGATTTTTATTATTATTATTAGGTGTTCAAGCACGAAGTGCTGAAAACCTATTGTATTTGTACTGATTTTTATTATTATTATTATTATTATTATTCTTCTGCCGTAAAACGCATCGTGCAGAACAAACCGTAAGTGCTGGAGCTCTGAAACTTTGTCAGATGGTAGTTACAAAAATCGAGGAGAGCCTCAGAAAGTATGACCCCGATTGGCCTATAGGTGGCGCTACAGCAATCAATTGCGCGAAACTGCTCATAACTCCTAAACCGTATGTCGTAGACTCAAGTGTCTTATATCATTGGAAAGCTGGAGGCCTGAAGAACAAAACGTATATCTCCGATTTCATTTCCGGTATGCAAATTTTTCCGCCATTTAGAATTTTGTCAAAAACCTACTTTTGCGAACTAGTCCCTGGTTTTTTGCCCGATCAAAACCAGACAAATGCATACATGTTCTCTGGAGTCTGAATATCAATATTCATTGAAAAAAAGTTGAATTTTCGATTCACGGTCGCTAGGGGGAGTAAAATGATCGTTGTGGGAGGAGCCTATTTTACTAAAATGGCTATAACTCGAGAAAGAAATGAGATATCTTCACCAAACTTGGAACACATGTGTATGAGTTCAATCCGAGGTCACAGTAAAAAAATCGCGTCGACCTAACACTAGGTGGCGCTATAACACACAAAAAACCTAAATGGGGCTATGACAACCTGACCGTTAGTCCGATTGACTTGAAAATTGGTATGCAGTGTCTTGGTCCAAGGTGCCATGTGTGTGTATGAGGAAATTGGCGTAACTAAAAAAACATGGCCGCCATCGGCCAATGAATTTGAGCACCTATTAGACGAGGTTAACGGAGGCCAATCGGAACGAAACTCGATGGGCATGTTCGACTCATGGCCAAAGAGGTCTGTAAGAGTTTTGAAAGAAATTGGCCACTAGTTGGCGCTAACGAGTTTTACGGCTCTGTAATCACGTGGTGTTGCACACATCCCCAAAATATGCATATCATTTGATACATCTCCTCAGGTTGAACAACTTTGCCTCTAGAACAATTGCTGTCAATCAAATCGTTCATTAAATATTCACGAATATGTTAAAAACCTACTTTTGCGAACTAGTCCCTGGATTTTCGCCCGATCGGAACCAGACCAGTCTAGGACAATTCTCTGGACTCTCTAGATCAATAATCATTGAAAAAAAGTTGAACTTTTGCATTTTTCGTATGGCTATAACAGGGTCATTTAGAAAAGGGGCGTGTCAAATACACACAAAAGCCTATAAATCATAAATAAAAACTCAGTACTAAACAAAAATTGGTGAGCATATGTGTCATAACATGGTGAAGAAGCATGCAAAGTTTCATGGAGATCAGACCATAGTTGGCGCTAAAACTGTCAAAAAGCTTTAAAACCATACATTTCCTATGGTAAATTGCCTGTATTGGCTGTAAATGCTGATCTCTTAAATGAATGCTCAGATCTTCTTTAAAAACGGTCAAGAACATGTGTAATATCACTCTGTACGGCATTGAAAAATTTCAGACAAATCAGACAAAATTTGCCTCTATAATTAATTGTCACAGGAAGCCTCAAAACGAAAGTAAAACATTGGGCCACGCCCCCCAAGTACAAATTCACTCATAACTCGAAAACGGAAAGTCTCTGCGCGCTCAAATTTTGATGGTAAGGTCCTCTCGGGGATCTTGATCCAAATCTATCGTCGCGGGGCTCGGGAGCGCCCCCCCCCCCCCCCCCCCCCCCCGAGGATCGCTAATCTGTGAGAACCCCAACTTGAAACGGCTGTAACTCTTGATCCAGACCATCTAGATCCTTGTGGAAGAGCTTGTTGGAAAGGGCCCGTCCTCATCTAGCTTCGATTCGAGTTTGGTGCGATTTGGCCTGGGCATTCCCGAGATATAAGCCCACAAAGATATGCATTTAAACGGACATTACTCCCGCCCCCAATCACCCAGCAACACCGGAATGGTCTTGATCAACAGAGCTCCTCTAACACTATCTAAGTTCTGAGTTTCAGATTTTTTCACTTTCTCGTTCCCGAGATATAAGTAAAAAAAAAAAAACGAATTTCCCGTCATTCATTTCAACCGTTTATGTAGGCTGTAAAACCGCTGTTGTCCACTAGAGGGAGCAACAGCATTAGACGTTTTTAATCTTTTTAACCAGTTTTCAGCAATGGCTAACAAACAAATGCTTAAAGATATTTATTATGTTGGAAATAATATTTATAATAAATAATATAATATTAAATAATGATTTATTAGAAAGTTTAATATTTTTACATCACAAATAAATATCTGAAATGCTTAAGGACCACAAAAAGAGATTTTCACAATATCATAACCCAAAATTGTGTGTGTGTGTGTGTGTAAGCATGCACAATGGAATTCACATTGAAAGACTGGTTTGCTTTAGTGCACAATATTGATTAAACCAAGTAGTTCAAAATAAAAGTGGTACTATAGCAATAAGTGGTCTTCTACTACCCTCTGCTGGACATTATACTTATTAATAGTCTTTTCACATGTGCTTTTGCATTCATATATTTAGACACTAAAAAATAACCTTATGTGACAATTACTATAATAACAATCATATTTTGTCTTTCAATTCACTTTACTGTTCTGAAGCTTCACATAATTGCTAGCAACGTGGTAAATCATGGTAAATCACGATAGAAACATGGTAAATCACAGTAAATAATATTATTACATGGTGTATCATGGTAAATCATGCTAGCAATGTGATTAATCATGGTAAAGAATGTTACAACCCTGGTAAATCATCCTATAACATGGTAAATCAAGGTAAACTAAGACAAATCAAGGTAAACTAAGACAAATCAAGGTAAACTATGATAAAGCATGCTAGAATCATATTACATCTTAGGCTACTAGAATGTGTTCAATTGTGGTAAATCATGCAAGAACAGGGTAAACTATGGTAAATCATACTGTAACATAGTAAATCATTAACAATCACACTGAAATGTTGTATATCATGGCAAATCATGCTAAAACATGGTCTATTCCATCTATGATGTCAGTGGTTAAATGCTTGCTACATAAACCTTAATGTCTTTTGATGCTTTTGAGCTTAACTGTCTTAACTGTCTTAACTGTCTTAAATGCTTGAACACCGCTAAATGCTGCTAGCAGCTTTAATTATTATTATTATTATTATTATTCTTCTGCCGTAAAACGCATCGTGCAGAACAAACCGTAAGTGCTGGAGCTCTGAAACTTTGTCAGATGGTAGTACAAAAATCGAGGAGAGCCT